AGTCCAGAAATTCCAATTTTAGAATTAGGGAATTTCTGTTTAGCTGTTGTAATAAGTTTTTCCATGTTACCAACACATTCGTCTATAGATTCAACAGGGACATCATTTGTCCCTGCGTGAATAACAACATGAGACGGGTCCGGTTTAATATTAATTTTGGCAAGCTCATTAGTTATTTCTATAGTTGTTTTACCTGGATATGTGAATTTATAAACTTTCCTTTTTGAGAGTTTTACCGGACTAACATTTTTGATTATTGAATCCCCAATAAGTGCAATACCTTTCTTTGGTACTCGATCACTGTTACCACTTGTACCTTGCGTTCTGTCCCGGGGTCAAACCTTCGTCTGTTTGATTTTGACCTTTCAATGTTTCTTGTATGTCGTTCTGAACGATCTTGTACTTGCACTTTTAAATCATTTATAATGTATATCAGCCTCGTACCCAGGCGCTAAAAATGGGCACACTACAGTGTTTTTATATAGATCAGTGGCTCGAGCGCGCGAGGGTGCTTGGGGAGGTTGCAGGAAGCGAAGCACCCCCGCGCGCTCGCTCATCTTAGCCACTGATCTATATAAAAGTACTGTAGTGTGCCTATTTTTAGTTAATTGCGCCTGGGTACGAGGCTGAATGTATATGTAGTCTATGTATAATGCGTCATTTGCGACTTTTTTGGCAAAATCCGTTTTAATACAAAACTCGCATTTTCCCTTTACAAACTTTAATTGTACAAACTCATATAAAGTTTGTATAATGAACGTATTACACGTATATTATAGGGAAGTTATACTAAGCGTTTTCGAGCGATATGAAATATGTCCATGTCACCACATTCAAGCCCCGTTTACACTACGCTCAATTTTTGATACGGCACGGATAAAATTGGTACCCGTACCACTTTTTTGGTTCTTGGACTACCTATTTAGCTAAGCCCCGTTTACACTACGCTCAATTTTTGGTACTGTACCACTTTTTGGTTCTTGGACTACCTAAATAGGTAGTCCAAGAACCAAAAAAGTGGTACGGGTACCAATTTTATCCGTGCCGTACCAAAAATTGAGCGTAGTGTAAACGGAGCTTGAATGTAAATCAAAGGAGACTTGCGTAGATTCGTAGAAGTTGCACGAAGTTTGATTCTGCCGATTCTTGCGATCGACGACATTGTAAAGCAAAAATTTTATAAAATGACCCTCGACTCCGAGAAAAGCTTCATATCGTCAAATCACGCATGGCATATTTATATAGACTGACAATCACATTAAAAGGGCAAGATCGTTTAGAACCACGTTCTAACCCGGTGTTACTATTTAATAGACGGTAAATAAACAGTGAAACATGCATAAAAAGTTAGGAATATAAAGTAATAAGTCTTTATACCACTGAGGCTTACTGTCCGCCATCTTCTTCTCGTCCCATGCCTCCCGGCGCTGTGACGTATGTGTCACAGGGACCCACAGCGTTACTCTAATATCGTTACACTCGGGACGATTTTTATATCGTTATATACTTATATCGTTAGTAAGAAAGTTTAATTCTGCATAATGTACGTCGATTATAGAAATGCGAAAATTTTACACCTGCATGGGACCTTCGATCCCGGGACAAATTTCATATTGTTCAACATATAGGTTGATTATAGAAACTTGTATAGAATAGGTAATGACGATTTTCCGTACTTTAAAAGTAGTTCCGTAATGTTCATGTGATCGTCAGAAAGAGAGACTTGGAGCAAGTCTGTGTTTGAATTGGTCATGTGGGCGAATTTGATTGAAAATGACATTCTTAATAGACCTTTCCCTTATGAATGAAATTTTGATCTAGATATGCCTGGACAAAAATTTCATCACAGCTTGAAAGAGCATCACAAAATTAGTAATATTCCGAAGTTTCGTTGCGAAATGTTGTAAAATGTGGATAGGCTTGCGAAGTTTGCCGTTTTTCAGTCATTTTGTATTACAAATGGGAAATTGATAATCAGTTTGATCATTTGATTATCAATTTCCATTTGTAATGCAAAATGACTGAAAAACGGCAAACTTCGCAAGGCTATATTATCCGCATTTTACAACATTTCGCAACGAAACTTCGGAATATTACTAATTTTGTGATGCTCTTTCAAGCTTTTTTGTCCAGACTTGTCTGGATCAAAATGATTTTGTTTGTAAACAGTAGAGGTGTGCATCGGATCGGATCGGACGTTTATTATCCGACAATTGGCTAATGTTTAAAATCCGATCCGAAATTGTCTAATCCGAATCCGATCCGAGTTTTGATAAAGAATTCCGATCCAATCCGAAGAATCCTTTAATAAAATAAATTTCTCATTCAAGTTGAAATATTAAACCAAATAATGAATATAGAAACAAGAAATACATGTCAAGAAGCTGACAAAGTGACGTCCAATTGAAGTATCAAACGAATAATGCAGCCACAACCGCGATGATGCTTAGATAAATGTATGGATAATTAATTCTTGCAATAATGATTGGATAATTAATTCATTTTATTTCGAATTAGTATCTAAGTCCGATCCGATGCGACTACGAAACAACTTTATCAATCCGATCCGAAATTTTGTTCCGAAATCCCGGACGAATCCGATCGGATTCGGATTGGATTTGCACACCTCTAGTAAACGGTCTAATGCGCTAGAAACTATATAGGTCCTTCGAATTATTCTTGCAAATTCAATTTGAAGCGTTTTAAGTGATGGAAAATAGTAAGCTCGTAATTGAATGCCGTGATGAATGCGGAGATGAATGTCGTGACAACCTCACAGTAGTTAAAACAACTCCCATTCACGACCATTTGCAACTGAGTGCGCAATCTTTACCATTTGCAATGGACCATTTGCATTATAGACTAAATTTTAATCTAGACCAAAATTTCATCACAGCTTGAAAGAGCATCACAAAATAAGTAATATTCCAAAGTTTCGTTGCGAAATGTTGTAAAATGCGGATAATATAGCCTTGCGAAGTTTGCCGTTTTTCAGTCATTTTGTATTACGCACGGGAAATTGACAGCCCAATCGGGTGTTGGGGCATCAATTTCCCGTTTGTAATACAAAATGACTGAAAATTGCAACTTGCGCAAGGCTATATTATCCGCATTTTACAACATTTCGCAACGAAACTTTGGAATATTACTTATTTTGTGATGCTCTTTCAAGCTGTGATGAAATTTTTGCAAATGGTCCATTGAGCGTAGTCCTCGCTTCCCAGAAATTATATGATTGTCCTATACTTAAGTGCTATTGTCGATAGTTTAAATTTGATATTAATATAAATTAAAGTGACTGAATCTTGATGTTGGGCATTGCTGGTTGTTTGGAACAAATTGGCTCACTTCTGTTCATAGCAACACAAAAATTCATCAAGCCAATATTATAAACAATACATATTTAAACCTGTGTTTAAACTATGAAACAAGCATGTATTGATTTTGGATTATTTAATTTATTTTGAGACCATGCGCTCAATGGCAAAAGCCTGGGTACGAGGTTGTTGCAAAAGCAATAATACTCAATCTCCAACAAAGTTAAAGTTCAAAACACATAGTATTTTTATCTGAGACCTCTCTCCTCCGCAGAGGCTTTAGTTTTCTAACTTTTCTTAGGATTTAATATTACGATGAGATACATTTCACTACACTTAGCCTGCGAGCAGAACCTGCTCGCAGGCTACACTACACTTTACATGGCGGATCTTGGAACACGAGCGTAGCCGCTGGGCGAAGGAGCGCAGCCAATTAAAGCATCTGCGGAGGAGAGAGCATCTCAGAGTGGCAAGATTAAAGCAACTTTCAATGAGTAAATGGTAACCCAGGGTAAAAGGCGGGTTTGCCAAGAAACGGGCACTATTTTTGTCGCCTGCTTTGCGGGATAACGATTCCATGTTTCCCTGGGGTTTCCGAAGTGCATTATTGCCCTGTTTAAAGTGCATATGAAATGAAAAGTTTTATTCTTATAAACGAACTTTTAATTCTGTAAGGTAAGTTCTTTTGAAGATTTTCGTTCTCATGCTTCGTTCTCGAGACATTTTGACTTGTCTGATATGCAAATTTCATGAGAAATCTCATTGTTCGCCGTTTTTACCCTATTCGAAAATCGTGTTAAATTTCACTATTGCCCAACGAAATTACTCGAAACTTTCCACATATTGCCAAAGTTCATTGAACTTAATACTTATACTTTTGATTTTGTTCAATAGACAATAGCTGTGAGAATAAGCACGCTTTTCGAATATGTTAATGAAGAAAAAGCGAGCCATAACTCATAAGTTTGCATTTGGATATCAGACAAGTGAAATATCTCAACAACAAAGCAAGAAAACAAAAAAGTTTGAAAGAACTTTACGCACTTATTGTACGTATACTTAAGAACTTACGTACTTACTGCACGTACAGACTTAAAAGTTCTTTCGTTTACGAGAAATTGAGAATAAAAAAATTTCATATGTACTATCCACAATTCAATAATCAAACTATTTTGGTTACGATATTTTTAATCATTAAAGGAGTGTATTATGGCTTCACAACAAAAACACATGGTACTCGAGGCAGTTCAGGCGGCTAGTCAGAGATGGAAAACGTCGTTTAACACAGGAAATTCTGCAGGTTGCGCAGCAGAATATGAAAAAGATGCCTCTATGAATGCACAACCGTTTGGAGTATATAATGGGCGTGATGAAGTACAAGGATTTTGGCAAAAGCTTATGGACGATGGCTTTAGAGATGTGGATTATATCGATCCGAAAATTGAAGTTATTGATGATCGCTCGGCTGTTTTATCTTCAAAGTGGAAGATGAATAAGGCACAAGGTGTGATTCATAAAGAGTTATGGGTAATACAAGCCGATGGCAGCGCCAAATTAAGAGAAGATAATTTTGAAGCATTGGCTTAAGTCAGTTATTGGATATTATTTCAAATGGCATTGATTATCATTGAAAAGTGTTGTTAGCAAAACGCCATACTCTATTAGAACAATGTCAATGACGACAAGATGTATTTTAATTCATGTCAATTTATACACGTGTATTGTCAAGGCATAAACATCTTCTCGTTTGTAAATTAAACGAAAGTTTAAAGGTCTTTAAAGCCAAAATGTTTCGTGTCCTTACCTATTGCACGTCAATGTGTATAATCAGTAGATCAGTTGAAGAATCTTTCGGTCGCTCAACAGTGCGAGTTCTATAATATACAGTACCAAGTGGACCGTTATACTTATAGGAAAGTTTAAAGGTCTTTAAAGCCAAAATGTTTTGTGTCCTTACCTATTGCACGTCAATGTGTATAATCAGTAGATCAGTTGAAGAATCTTTCGGTCGCTCAACAGTGCGAGTTCTATAATATACAGTATCAAGTGGACCGTTATACTTATAGGACAGTTGCGAAGTATAAAATAACAACGGATAGCATCATAGATTGCATTGACATACACGAAATTGTAGGTATTGTTTCAATACTACACAATGTGTATTGTATGTATAATGGATTACTACCTAAAGCTGTTTTCCACTACTCCAACGAATCTACGCAGCGAGTACTTGCATCCAATTAAAAAGAACTCAAAACGAGCTTATGAGCACTGTTGGTTATTTTTAGCTAAATGCAAGTGCTCGCAGCTCTCTGCGAGTCATTAGACAGATTTAGAAAAGACGACGTGAAAATGGCGTGTTGTCCATATATGGATGTGCCACGCCACTTTGACGCCATTTTCACGTCGTTTTTGAGGTCGCGTCGTCTTTTCTAAATCTGTCTATTCTCGTACGGTACGCGCGGTGCGACGAGGGGCTCTGGCCAAATCCATATCCGAACTGGCATCTGATTGGCTAGTTCTAACACCGGCTATTGTTTTCTTACCATGTTTTTATGGTATCCGGTTATGGATTTGGCCAGAGCCCCTCGTTGCACCGCGCGTAAGAAGGGCTCTGGCTACGAGAATGTTTGCGAGTGGATTCGTGCGAGTAGTGGAAAACAGGCCTATAACACGATGAAAAAAACGTGAATAATTACCACTATTCTGTTTCTTTCGTTTTGATATTGATCCAGTGCTACCTTTTCTGCTATTCATTTCTCGACACTTTCTACACTGGATCCAAGAAGTTCATACTGCTTCAGGATATTAATCTTTAAATTCAATCAAAAGCCAAATATATCAGCTATGTTTTATTGTGTACTGATTGATGCACATTGTAAAGGATCTGTTTAGAAGAGATATGACTTTTTCACGCAAAACGCGGGACACGCGCGCAGACAATCAGTGGATTATTGATAAACTCGTGTAGGAATTTCGTATTAAAGTTTATTTTCACTGTTTTTGTACTAAATCAGGGCATTTTTTAACTATATAACTGGGGGGGCCAAAGCCCCCCCAGCCCCCATGGTGGCCCCCCCACTCAACCATTTTGGCCCCCCCCCAGTGAAAGTCCCTTTTCTCTAAAATATAAGCAAAACATGGAATTTAGAAGGGAGGTTTGATATTCTAGTAACTGAAATTTGCTTTGTGAATCTTATGTCCTGTCTTTTATGTTTAATAAATACCTTATTAGATTTTAAACATTTCCCAGGCAGTGGATTGCATTACCCAGACCCTATAGATTTGAGTTGTTGGACAAGTTAGTGACCGCAGGGGGCAACAGGCCCTCAACCAAGTGTTTTATAAGGGGAGGGGGGGATAATTTTGGCCCCCACCAAAAAAAACAATTTGATTTCGAAACTAGAAGTATTTGAAATCATATATACATATAATCAAATATCTGTAATCGATATTTTGATAACATTTCTCGTAATAATCCATCCTGACTCGCGGATATCATAGACTCACAAATCATAATGAACGAATTAATGAAAGGGCCAAACAAAAGACGTATAGAAGACTTTGAAAATGCCATTTCCGATGATTTAGAGACGCAAAACTTTTCCGCTCTGTGCCAACCATGGTGGTGCTTCGTGGGAGTCGGGAACTCTAAGTTTATCAGGCTGGCTCCCTAAGTGACGGCCAAGTTGTGGTATCTACATAAACATACTATGCAAGTACTTAACTGAAGGTTCAGTCTATCTACAGCATAATGTAATGCTGTATATCCAAAAATCTGTTTCAGAAAATGCAGGGAATTGCAGTCATAGGGGTAGAAAAATGCAAAAATTTTCTGGGGGAGAAAACCCCAGACCCTCTCCAGGGCCGTAGGGTAATTCATTTTTCAAAATCATGCAGACCTTTATTATTTAACTGATGACAAACTGCAAAGAATGAAGATATTACCCATACTTTCTTGCAACTTATCCAATATATCGTTAATTAAATACACCTTCGTCCATTTAGTACTACTGAATTCTAAATTTCCACATACTAAAAACGCTGTTTTCTGACAATCAGAAATCTGTCAAATCTTCCCCAAAGTCCAGGAAATGGCATGTCAGAGACTCTAAATTTAAAAATTTCCTCGGGCCTTCGGCCCTCGCTTTCAGCCCCCCCAAACGAAAAGAGCTTCCTACGGCCCTGCTCTCCCCCCCTACTATTAAATGCGATACCACACCAAACGTTTTGTTACCAACAAACCATCTATCATTGCTCCACACTCGGTATAGTATGGTCCCTTTTTGTAGATGGCCCCCCCACTGACGAATTCTTAAAAAATGCCCTGTACTAAATCGAGTACTTTTCGAGGCTAAATATCGTTACATCGCAACATTTGGCGATCCTGCCAGGACAGTTCGAGGAATTTGGGGTTTTTAAAGTGAATTTCGTGGTTAAAATCGGGGAAAATTTCACAACATCGTGCTCGAGGACTGTTGGCGTATTTACAGCGTTTATTCGTAGTTGTATCGGTATTGGAACAATATT